TCCCCACTTGAGGGCTCCAAGGAGGGTGGAAGGACAAGGAGATGAATAGTATACCAAACACATCATGGATACCAAAAAAACTAATTTAAAAAAAACCACCAAGCCGGTACCGAGGGTGCAATCGGCTGACCCCATGGTGAACAACCCAAGGGTGAATCCGGCAAATACACCTTTGGCTGCTGCTCAGGCAAACAACCCGACCGCAGCGCCATCCACGACTCTGGCGACACCTCTGGTGTCTAACCAGAATACGGAGCCAGTGTCGACCATCGACCTATCCTCTTTGAGGGCAGCAATGCCCGTACCTGCGGGACCCTACCTGGAAGAAACTGGCTGGAGCCTGGTAAGGACAAAGAAGAGAGCGTCGAAAAAACCAAACCCGTCCAAGAAGACCCGTAACGCCAACAGGGCGAAAGCCCGAGTGGAAAGGCAAGCACGGTGTCTGACCTCGGGTGGAAGTAAGCGGCTTGAAGTCGCTGAAGGGCCCGAAGGGGCCCACGTTGCCCCCGTCAGTGATGTGCTGCCCCGAGGCGAAGACGAAAGTCAAGCCACGGGGAAGTGTACTCCTGTGGGGGCGCCACCTGCTAAGACGCCTGTAGCGGCCAAAGTACCCTCTAGGCAGGGTCAACCTGGACAGGTTAAACGGGCGAGACGAGCGACACGTGGAGGGAAACCTTCAAGTGAAACAAAGCCCGTCAAAAGAACTCGCCCGGACGAGTCTCGCACTCCCCAGGGCAGTGGCAAGCGATTCAAACCGCTGCCAAAGACCGGCTCCACGTTACTCCGACGCACTAAAGGCAAATGACCTTTGCGTCGCGGTCATGTTGGAGCCTTACCACGACCTCACCAAGGCACAGGCAGAGGACATCGAGGGCAAGCTGCAGGGCGTGCTAGATGAGGAGATCTTCTCGCCCGGCACGTCAAGCGCACCCGTCGCTGCGCCACAGTTTAGGGGCAAGGCCTTCTACAGTGAGGGCGCCCTTAAGACGTGGTGCAACGACGAATATGGTGCCCTACAGTGGCTTCGCCGATCCCTGGTAAGGATCCCATCACCACGTGAAGGCACCAAACTGGTCGTCAGGAGGCAGTCTGAGATCCCGAAAAGGATCAAGGCTGGACTCCTGGTACCACAAATCGGACCAGATGATACACTGGTCCGTATACAAACGAGGCTAAAGTACTAGAATAGCCAGTACAATGTGGCCAACTGGGCCCTCTACCATGCCGAGGCGCAGGAGGAAAAGAAATGTCTCTTCCTAGTGCTCGGCATCCCAGAAGAGGACGTCGTGAAGCTCAAGGCTAGCGAGCGTAGAGTATACTACAAACTGGGTAACCTCTACGTTCGCTTTCTTGATGAACGTCCCGCCCCACCAACTAACCCAGACGAGGAGCCAGAATCGGCCCCACAACACCCTAAGGACGGCAATGGAGGGGATCCTCTGATACCCGTTGAGGAGACAGCCTGCCGGGGTCCACCTCCTGAGGAGTTGGAGGACCTACCGGTGGGCGAGAGTTACCTCGACGACATAGAGGATATGCTGAACAGCGATGATGGCGCTGTCTGCACCCCCCCCATAACACCATTATAGCCATCCAAACCAACCTCCAGCACAGCCATACAGCAACGGCTAACCTACGCAGAGAGCTGGAGGTAAAAACCAACACCGTAGCCCTAATCCAGGAGCCGTGGATTAGGAAGGGCAGGATCTGCGGTCTAAACAATATTGGAGGTAAGATACTTCTCAACACTACCATTGATAACCCGCGCACTTGTATTTATACACCAAAACATGCGTGTACTACCCTAATGACCGAGTTCTGTTCCAGAGACCTTACCTCTATTAGGTTAAAGGAACCCTCATCAAACCTGCCTGACGTGGTGATAGCATCAGCCTACTTGCCGGGCGATGCTGACATCCATACTCCGGAGCTGGCTGCGCTGGCACACCACTGCGAGCGCGAGGGTCTGGAGCTGATCATCTCTGCCGACACCAACGCGCACCATGCGCATACTCGATGGGTAAATCAACAGAATCTGCCCTACATCGAGTTGTTTCATATATAGAAGACAATCTAAATCACAAAAGGTCAACACTGGCCACCTTTATCGATATCGAGGGAGCCTTTGACAAGACCAACTTCACCAGCATTAGCCAAGCTCTGTCTAAACATGGTGTTGATTCCACAATCTCAGGGTGGATCGACAGCATGCTAAGAAATAGAGCTATACAATTCACTGTGAGCGAAGTGACTAGAGGAGTGGTGGCTAGAGGCTGCCCCCACGGCGGTGTACTCTCCCCCCTTCTATGGAACATTGTTGTGGATGAGCTCATCACACAACTTAATGACCAAAGATTCCTCACAATAGGCTATGCAGACGATCTTACTATTCTCATAAGCGGTCCTTTTGAAAGCATTACATGCGATCAAATGAGACTTGCACTGAAGATCGTGGAACAATGGTGCGTAGCACACAACCAGACAGTGAACCCATCCAAAACAGAGATGATCATGTTCACAAACAAACGCAGCCTAGGAAATCTCAGACTTCCCAAGCTATTTGGAACACAACTTACTCTTACCAAAGAGGTCAAATACCTAGGAGTAATACTGGACAGTAAACTCCTGTGGAATAAGCACCTCGATGAAAAACTGAATAAAGCCTGCATTATTTTCTGCCAATGCAAGCGGCTACTCGGCAAAAGCTGGGGACTATCACCCAAAATTACTTTATGGCTATACAGGACAGTCGTAAGACCAATAATCACTTACGGTGCTGTTGTCTGGTGGCAGAGAACAGAGCTAAGCACCGTCATAAATAAATTGCAGCAATTCCAGCGACTCCCATGCTCCGCGGTCACTGGCTGTATGCGCACAACGCCTACTGCCGCACTGGAGGTGGCTCTTGGTCTGCCACCCCTGGATCTATTCATACAACAGAAGGCCGCCATGGCGATCATTAGACTCAAACACCTGGGTCTATGGCAAAAAACTGAGGGATCGCACTCCAAATTATGGGATCAATTGGTGGAATACGAACCACTGATAGCAGCTCCATGCGATAGAATCCCAAAACAACATATCTTCACAAGAAGATACTACATCCAGATACACGGAAATGACCGAGATCAATCCGGCATTAACGAAGTCCGAATTCACACGGACGGTTCCAAGACTAGGTCAGGAACTGGAGCCGGTGTTTTCTCGCAAGACCTAAATATAAACATATCACTAGCGTTAGGCCAACACAGTTCCATATTTCAATGTGAATGTGTGGCAATAACTTACGCTGCCACAACGGCCATGTCAAGGGGTATCAAGGACTACAACATCCGAATAATATCCGACAGCATGGCCGTCTTAAAGGCATTGGAGGGCAACACAATGACCTCTGGTATTGTCTTCGAAGCACTGGAACAGCTCGCTATATTCAATGGGGTACTCCTCCAATGGATTAAAGGGCACAGTAACTCACACGGGAACGATGCCGCAGATGAGTTGGCAAGGAGGGGCTCGGCAACCCCAACCTCTGGCCCAACCCACTCTTGCCCATATCGTTTAACCAAATACGATGCTGGGTCAGGCAACGGACCTGTGAAGCACACAACCGGAGGTGGAAAAACTCACCCGGCTGCAGACAGTCCAAACTGGTGCTGAATCAAGTCACACCACGACTCACCTGCAGACTGATCAGTCTTAGCAGACCGGAAATCAGAATGGTTGTCGGAACTATTACAGGACATCTAGCCCTGAACCGACAACTATTCATAATCAATGCGACGGACAGTCCCCTGTGCAGGGGATGTCTGGAAGCGGAAGAAACGGCCGTCCACGTAGTTCTGGAATGCGAGGGAGTGGCCGCACAACGGGCAAGTATCATTCCTGATATAAAGTCGCTCCTAGAAGCCTGTGAACGCCCCAGGAGGCTTCTGCGCTTCTGGAAGGAGCTTGGCTGGCTCACCTAGTCAACCAATCCTCGACGCATAAAGGACCACTCTGAGTCTAAATGCGGAAACCGAAGCCCACAACCAATACCAATGTCACAGTCAGCGCTTACATGAATCAAACAATAGGTATAGACAGAGACTGCTTTATTCCCTTCTCCATATCGGTCGCATCCAATCATCATTCTTGCCTACCCACATTATAAATATATATTATGACATCTCCCTTCTCAAAAAAAAAAACTTATTAAAATTATTACATATTAAAATTAACATAATGATAAGTATAATAATTTATTGATATCTGATACATGAAGCTGAAATATTACCAGAATATTTTAGTATGTATTCGAAATGCAATTGAAAACAATTATTCACAATATAACTAGGACTAAGGCAATGATAAACAATTTAGAAAATTATAACGTAGATTCAAGAATTACAATTAATCACAAAAAAAATCATAGAATATTTTGATCACCATTTAATATAATACAACATTTATTTCCAACAAAACCGAGGAATTACCATTGCAATACATTAATAAATACCTGAATTTTTATTTATTAGATTAAATAGCTAATAAATAGAAATTTGTTAGGTTACATACATACTATTTTAAGAAAAGGTCTTGTTTTTGTACATTCATAAAAATTAAGTGCAGAGGTACTTTAAATTCTTACTTAAGTAACTAATTTACATACAAAATTGTTGTTGTTCACACTCGCAACACTTGTTAACATAATTTATCATCTAAGAAAATTTATTAACTTTTCATATATTTGATTAATTATAAATAATTTATTAATTATATATTAATTTATGAACATTTATTTTGTTATTATCTATCTATGAACTTTCCATAAAACAATGTGAAACTTGGAACATTGTTTTATATAATTAATTTAAATTAATAGTAAAATACAAAGATTAAATAAATATTATATTATCATCAAGATTGTTACAATCTATTAAGATAACATGCAGTATTTTTGTAATAAATAAAAACAAAAAGAAAAACTTTAATTCCTTTATGGTATCAGTTCACTTCTGTGGTTATGTATAGCCCCATCTATTCGGAGGTCTCACCGTCCTGCCAGAACAAGTAACATATAAGTCAGATGATGTACAGGTATTATTAACATTAGTATATTGACATGGATACATAATATGATCGTAATCAAAGTTGTACTCTTGAGGAGGATTCTGTGCAGGTGAGAGGTCCTTTATGATATGCCGTCTATTCCTCACTATTACTTTTCCATTAAGCAGACGTATTCTATAGGACCTATTGCCTAAGTTAGTCAATATTATGCCTGAAACCCAAATATTTTTTAGAGAATCATAGATCCTAACTTTTTGATTAGTACTCAATGGAATCAAATTTCTAGAACCTTTGTCATAGTACATTTTTTGTTTTTGCTGCCTAACTCTCAATTTATGTTGCGTACTTACGTGAGATTTAGAATTAAATAATTTAACAGGCGTTGGAACAATACTTCTAAACTTTCTACTCTGAAGCAGTTCTGCTGGTGAGGGTATGATATTGCTAACTGGTGTATTTAAGCATTCTAACAACCCAAGTCGATAATCAGAATTATCTTCTAAAGATTTTTTTAAAATATTTTTAACAGTCTGTACAGTGCGCTCAATTTGGCCATTTGATTGATGGTAGTACTGGGATGATGTCTCATGAGTAAAGTTCCATTCATGTGCAAATTGTCTAAACTCTGAGGCTGTAAACTGAGGACCGCAGTCAGACATGACTGTATTCGGTATCAGCGGCGTGCACAGGATTATGACACTAGGTATGCGGCGGAGTAGGAAAACAATATAATTTAATCGTGTGTACACAACCACACAGCCATACCACGGTACTATTATAATACAGTACTCCAAGTTCATACAAACGGACGAAACGCGAGCTATACCTCGCGCCTCGATCTCGGGGTGCGCTCGGGGCGCAGACAGTCACGGCTGTACCGCAGTGTCCGGTGTGTTGTTTTTTTAACAATAACCGCGCGATTTTTTCTCTAAAAATCAGTTAATATGACGAGTAGGAAATATTGTGCTGTTTTTGGTTGTATGAATTCGTCAATAACGCATCCAGACATAAGTATTTTTAAATTACCTGGAAACTCTGAAAGGTAACACTATAATAATTTTACTTTACTTAATAATAATTAATAAAATAATAATTTTACTTACTAGTAGGTAGGTACATAATATGTGTCTTTTTAATGGATAAGTATTTCGTTTTATCTCACGAAAAAAAAGGTGTTTGGATTAATAAATAAAGCGAATGGAGTAACGGAAAGTTATTGAGACGAGTGAAATAGGTAGTTATTTGCGGTTCTGAATGAATCGTGATACGGTAGGTACCTACTTACGCTTGTGTTAAAACTTCGGTGCATGTGTGTTTTGTTACTTTGCATAATTCAAAGTAAAGACGTGGTATTTTATTATTAATAATATTTGTTTATTATCTGTGTGTATGAATAATACTAGAAAAATTTTTGGAACGAAGTTCCTTATCGCGCGTTGTGAAAGGGGGCTAGACGGAAAAAATTCTTACGAAAATTGGTCACGACACTTTTTGCTATAGTAAGCTATTGTAAGCTGTGCGGCGTCGCATGTTTCTCTGTCTGTCTCTCTCTCTCTTATAGAAAGCAAGCCAGATATTTTCATTTCTATCTTTTCATGTCAGTCATTCAGCGCCATCTATCGAATAGATAGGAAATCATTTCTCAAGGAGATTTTACCAATGTATAAATTGTTTTAATTAGAAACCAACTGAAAAATATGTAGGTAATAGCCGCTTTCATAGATGGCGTTGTAATTAAAATGTGCCGAATCAGTTTTACTCGATCGTTACAACTTCGTTCCTATCAGGTGTCCCACGACACCACACGGCTTTTTTTTACCGTCTGTGTGTCATTAGATAGTTTTCGAAATTTTCACAAAGTGTTTCTGCTGCTACTATAACAACATATACCACTAAAAATTGGTTTTATTTTCTCGGTATTAACAACAACAGCTAGACTCATATATAATATTTAGATGTTTGAGGGTTGTGATTTTAAAACATTCGTAGTCAGCTGTTCAGCTTTTTAATAATTAATTAATTGGTGACCAAAGAATTTTTGTTTTGAGTTGTTGCGAGTTGTAGGTAGGTATCTAATTTATGGAGACGTTAATAAGCTGAGACAAAAAGTTACTTACTCGTCAGCTGTTTCTTGCATTCTAGTTGAGTAGGCAGGTGTTGGAGTTTCTAAGGATTGGAGTTTTGTAACGCGTATGGAGAAAGCACATTTTTTTATTTTATAGAAGGATTTTTAAGCTATTGCATAGCTTTTATCGCGGGCTCTGAGCGCGGCGCGGCGCGGTGACCGAATCAAGAAATTCGCAGATTTTTTTCTTTAAAAAAAAATGTAATGCAACAGCTTTACCGCGGCAGTCTCCGAGAGTGCCACATGTATTTTTTTTTTTCAGACGTCTTCAATGGTTGCAACTGATCCGGCGAGATGATTTGGAAAACAAACCTAACTTTAGTTCCTACCAAGTTTGTAAAAAACATTTTAATTTGGAGGATGTATTACATTCATCAAATAGAAAACTTTAAAAAAAGAATGCCCTACCATTGTTGATGCTGCCAAGCTTAGCTAGTACTGATCCAGGAGTCTCTCTAAAAGAAGATAAACAAACCCAAACTGTTCCGTTGGTAGGAAATGAAAATAGTACACAGACTGAAAATGCAACAAATGAAATCTTTGCTCAAATCTCAACGAGTCTCTCTAGAAACACTCCAAGAAAAAGAAAATTGAAACTTGAACTCCTCCAATGCAGAAAGAAAATAAAATAATTAAATCTACCAATCAAAAAACAACACGCATTTTTATTGAACACTTTCTATTCAATATACAAAGTATTTCATTTTCATTTCATTTCATTTTCATTCATTTTATTTATATAAAAAGGATATTTACAATCACAAATCTAAATAGAAACAGAAAGTAGGCAAATATAATTAAAATGCTGGAGACGGGCAGCCCTAACGCATTTTTACGTACCGCGCGGCTGTAGGCATTTATTTCTATCATGCGGCCGAGTTACACTACTGTATTATAATTGTACCATGGCCATACGTTTCCGTTTTGCTGGTTTAATTGTTGTAACTCGGGTACACAACTACTTTTAGACACAATTTTAATCTTTTCACTGAATGGCAATTGTGAGAACTTGTTATTTTTAATTTTTAATAGACATACATTTTCCACACTAACTCACAATCAAATAACATTTTGAAAACATCAACGGAACTCAGTAATAAACTGTTAAATGTACACACTTTCAAATGTTAATATGAAAAATAAAACTATAATTATATTGGCGGAAAGAAATTGGTAAACAATGTTTATCACATGAAAAAAGCAATATGGCCCCCGCGAACACGAAACATATCTGCTAATTAAACAAATAAAATCTTACCATATTCAAAATTCATAATCCGCATACATGATTTATTATATTTCTGACTATTGTTGTTTAGTCGATTTATAGGCAACGAACATTTCCGATTACTGCCGAACGGCGAACTTCAGTAGCCTGCGGCTGGAGGCGGGGAAATAAAATAAATGGGTGTGTGCGTTTGTGAACTGTGCACGGACACCAAAGTTACTACACACATGCGAACAAATTTCCTGCGGGACGCGACGGCATGAGTTAGTTGGTTAGGTACAACGCCGCTTGCTTGTCGGTAAACGCCTGGCAAACATAATGTTTATTGTTTGTGTGCTTTCAAATAGGTGCTTTTTATAAAATAGTAGGCGTTTTTAACTTAGTATATTACGTTTATTCATTTATTTACTATTAATTAAAGTAATATAAAACGTATGAACGTTTTATTAAAATGTCTGTGAATAGCAAGTAAAGCACTGCATTTCTGCCAAGGAGCGCACGCCCCTGAGTAAAGCGACTATACTTACCGTTGACAGAAAGAGGGAGGGGTCTTATAAACGTAGAGTATATGTATAAAACACAGGTAGTTAAATATAAGCAATACTTAAAAACAGAAAGAGATCATCTTATTCAAGCAATAGTACAACATGACTCACATAGAGATAAATACTCAATCATTAAGGAAGCACAAGAAATAGAAGAAGAACTACATTTAACAGTGGGTAACTACATTTAAAACACACAATGCAGTGTGGAGAAGTAAGCAGTTACACGGGCAATTTCCGCATAAAGTACTCGATCAAGCCAACATAGATGCAGAGCTTTCGTTTAAATGGATTAAGAAACAACAGATATCGCCCAAATTAGAATCATCATTATTTGCCATACAAGACCAAGCCATTATGACCCGACAGCATCAGCGCGATATACTGAAAGAATCAGTAGACGGAAAATGTCGCATATGTGCCTGTAAGGATGAGACCACTCAGCATATCATATCAGGATGCGAAAAACTGGCGGGGACCTATTATGTTAAACGACATGATAACCTTGTCCAATACGTCTACTGGTGTCTGGCCAAAAAACACAAAATAGAAATATCTGACCTTTGGTGGAAAGAAACACTCATACAACCACAAGTCAAAGAAAATGAATCCACTAAAATCCTTTGGGAAATGCCCGTACAAACAGATATCACCGTAACGCACAATAGACCTGACCTTATATATATCGACAAAACTAGCAATAAAACATATTTAATAGACATTAACGTACCATCCGATTACAATATAGGCGCTAAGGAGATTGAGAAATTGAGCAAATACCACCTGTTGAAAACTGAAGTCACCCGCCTGTGGAATACACAAACGACTGTCATTCCGATAGTTATAGGCGCAACTGGAATAGTCGCTAAAAGCATAAAGAAATACATAGATAAATTGGGAGCCAACATCGACATAACCATCCTTCAAAAACAAGCAGCCATACACACAGTGACCATACTCAGTAAAGTTTTGGGAGATACGGTAGATATCCTTTTTCCCGTGTGTTACGGGACGGGGTATTTATAAAACCGACAAATGTCGAGATGTTGAGCTCAACACTCAGATAAATAATAATAATAATAATAGTTTATTGTTTCTCTCACACAGTTCGGCAATACATTAGTCAAAACAAAACAAAACAAACATTCATTAGACAATTGCAATGGTTCTATGTGAAAGACTAGTATCTGTATTAGGACAGACCTGTATGACAGATTACCAGCCTCTCCCAGCTCTGGATTAATGCAGTACTAGATGTAAAGTAGGTGTTATCGTTGAGTGAGAGTGTATAACAACTACGACCCAGTGGCAGTGTGTTCGTACATATATGAAAGAATGTGTGTGCGCGTGTGTTTGTGGGTGAGTGTGTATATGTTTAGGCGTGTGTATGTGTTTGTGTGAATGTATTGTATATATTGCGTAAATGCGCATATTGCGTGCGTAAATGTGTTTTAGAAAATATATATGTGTGTGCATAATAATATAATATAAAAAAGCAGAAAAAAATATGGGAGCCCACTTATGTGTATAGTGTGTTGTATTACGATGGAATATATAAAAGATTTTCTGTTTCATCGTAACTGAGGGACTTGAGCCAACATGTGACAGCCTTATTGCAATGGAAACGTGTATAGGGGTATATGTTAATCTGTTTGATGATCTTATTGTAAAGATATCCTCCCAGAAAGCCAAAGAATCATTGATTAAACATTTCAGCGACTCAATAAATGGAGTAATGTTTTTATAGCCCGGGGGTCTGTA